GCATATAAAAAGGCCTTTGACGAAGACGTGCGCTTTATACCAAGCAGTCAAAGCAGGGGGGACAAACCGCCTATGGAAAAGTTTAAGTCCCCCCCCCCAACTAGCGCACTTGTTGCCAAGCTAACCAATCTCAATTTCGTCGACCAATCAAATAAGTTTTGCCATCCCGTTCTACCTTCCGATTGGCCGGTCCTCGCCGGGGCAATTAATTGTTGGAAAGTCGATGTATTGAACTAAATGTATCGAACAAAGTCCAATACTAGGGGATGTGACATGAATTGGCTGTCGGTTGGTAGTTCGTGAAGTAACATTAAAGAATAAATAGTTTATGACAAGTTGGTGGGAATGCTATAAACAATAGATTTGTACTTTACATTGAATTTAAAATAAACTTTAATCGTCTAATAAAAGTTTTTTTTTTTAAATTGATTTGAAAGGTATCAAATACAAGTCAAAACTAACTAACGTAAGAAAAGAGGGAAAATGATACGAATGTAGTGAATATGTTGAATCTTGAGCCATAGGAACCTCCTCAGAATATTGACCCCAAGTTGAATTCACTCATAGTCTGACTGCATAGTGGAGTGACGTTGCAAGCTACGTCCAGCTGCAAGAGCAGTGCGGCGAAAACAAGTGCATTTTAACAGATCGCTACTTCGTTAGTACGAGGTTAGTGTCTTGAGTCTTAGTAAGAATGTAGGCATCAAGTAGCATAAGCCGAATTCGAACCGATTCACATTGTAACGAAATGAATGAAATGGAGTGAAAATATTTTTTACTATCCAGGGACTGTTGTCCCTTTAGAATAAATAATAAATACAGAGAAAATACCAGTGTGGCCATACAAAATAATATCTAATTAAAATAAAAATATAGAAAGAAAAAAATATAAGAAATATATAGAATAAACATAGGAAAATAAAATAACGTAAGTAAACAAAGTAGTTTCTGAGGGAACTTAAAAGAAGTTCTCTTATGTAAAATTCGTGATCATTCGAGTTGGGATAGGAATAGGTGATTAAAAAGGTAAGATTTAAATAAGGAAACTGATTTTGTATTTCGGATATCGGGAGGGATAAAATTCCAAAAGGAGACGGCTTGAATTACAAAGGATTTGTCAAACACAGCAGTTTGGTGAGGAAGAGGATAAAAGTCGGAAGTGCGGGATCTGGTGGGACCGGATTGAATGGAGGATTTCAATTGTAGGCTCTGTAGAATATAGGAGGTTGTGATCGCTTAATTCTCTGCATATGGGTTATTCACCAAGATTTTTTTTTATCATAATGGAATTTCATAAACAGAAACAGCAAGCTGGAGGTGATTTTTTGATTTCATTTTTGACTAAATGTATTTCTGAATTGTTTTAAAATATTTTACTTAGTTGCTTACCTGGTCTCTGCTGCTTAGTGACAATATTTGTTTATGTGTAGTATTGCTATGATCTAGGTTAAAAATATTCTTCTGTGAGATTCGTTAGCTTTACATTCCATTACAAAATGGAATAGTGTTTCATGATTCATGCATGGGTCGGATTCGAAACTTCTATACGGTGTAAATAAATATTACATAATCCGTGATTTGACTTTAATCTTCAATAAATTTTATTTCCTATTTATTTGGTGTTAGTTATATAGTTGTTGTTGACAACCATGGCCTGCGGGAAATGTTCGGGAATATTGAATTATGGCCTGTTAAGTTGTTATTGTTCTTGCAAAGTGTTCCTATGATCCTCTTTGATAGTTAAATGAAAGTCAGTACGTGGGACCGATATGTTCACTGTCTGGCATCTCGAATGTGTGCTTCAACCCATTTTTCACTAAGATATCACCATATAATAATTTTAATTGGGTTCATACTCATGTAATTTGTAGCATTGAATCGAATGGTAAAGTATGTTTGGTTGTAAGAGTAACGGCGAGAAATTAATAACTTCATTAAAAACACCCTGGATCATTTTATAAATCTTCCTTGTAAAGTAATTTGGAGCGGAGTAGCTCAGAGGGGGAGGGAGAGCACTAAATTCCAGAGTTCAAGGCCCGAGATTCTAATCCTGCTGATAAATAGTTAATTTTCAACAGATGTGGATCGGGAGACCTTCCTTGGGCACATCCAGCCTCTATAAAGTGGTTACTCTTAATAAAATAATTAATTTAGGGGAGAAACCTGGCGGTTGAGCACGATATCGGCCCATTCACTTCTCTGCTCAATCATTGGCCTTGTAACAATACTTGTGTTATACTGAACCCAAGACTCTTCATGGGTAGTAGTGATACAGGGTAATTTTTTTTTTAAAGTTGATATTTTATGAAATGAATGGACAAAAAACATATAATTTTCTTTTTGTTTTTTTATTTCTGGCAGAATGAATTTCTGTATCATTGAGGCCCATTTTACGCTGCTGTAAGGATCAATAAATTCTTAGAGCTAATGGAGGATCAATTGTACAGTAAGAGCTAAAATGGAAGTTATCCTAAGCTATGAAATCAAATTTACATATTCTGTGATATATGGTAAGCCTGTGATTGAAGAAGTGTTTAGTCAGTCGATAGTGAGCCGCATTTAGTCCTGTCACCTGTAGTGTACACAAATCCACGGGTAAAAGCATTGTAATTCTCTTTGGACAGGGTGGTTCTAGGAATAGATTGGAATCTGTTACCTAGTATTTTCCCAATTAAACTAGTGATGATGCAATGATACAGCAACATTAATTCGTATTTTGGCATAACTATCACCACATCTGGAAATTATCTCTTCTATATCCCTTAATATCACTTTGATTGAAATAGCACTTTGATTGAGAGAGAGGCGATAGGGAAAAAAAAATCATGGAAGTTTATATTATGTGTAAATATATAACATATTATTACGAAACGAACAAATAAAATACCAAATATTTAAAAACGAATTTGTCTATATGTATTTCTGTAGTTGCAGAATTTTAACTTTTTTTTTATGCACATACTTGAAAATATGTGAAACTATTGAATATATTACATATTTGTATTAAACATTGGGAGAGGAAGACATAAATTATTTACATTTCTAGAACTTATCCACCTATAAATAAATAATATTAAAACATGAAAAATACACACGATTTTTTAGTTTGTATAACAAAATAACGTTTCCAGAGTTTGACCAATTATGTAAAAGTGTCAATAAAATACACAGCTGATGAATAGTAAAGACGCATTCATTTTTACGGGTTTTTATTTGTGCCGACGTTTCAACCCGAGCTTGTGGGTCATCATCAGGGTTGAGAATTTTTTAATACAATCAGAGATATAATATTATATGACAGATCATTTTCAATAATGAAAAAATATCGATGGATGATACATGAATAGACAAGTGAAATATGTAATAAGTTATACAAACCAAAAAGATATAATGTATTAACCAATTTATACGTAATGTTCCCTTTCCTCCTTTACTTTTTCTATCTTAAAAGCACATCTGGAAAATCCTCCAGCGACCCTTTTACTTACTAAATAAGGGCCAGTACTTGAATAACATCAGTGCTCGAAACACTGTCATTAAGAGTAAATATTGCATCTCTTATAAATTAATTATATACAATATATCTTTTTATTTTGTATAACTTATTACATATTTCATTTGTCTATTATATTGTATCTCTGATTGTATTAAACAATTTTCAGCCCTGATGATGACCTGATTGGGTTGAAACATCCGCACAAAAAAAAAATGACTGCATCCTAACTATCTATCACCTACGATATATAGAACAGTCGATTAACTTCCTTCAATAGAGATAAATACTTTGTTGAATGTAGTGCTACCCTACTGCATAGGGTTGCTTTACACACAGCATACCGATCAATCAATTTAGACATAATTTATATTATATAACATATATTCATTTATCCTCGAGAAAGCTCCTTGTAATTTTCGGAATCGTTCCGCGAGACCCAAACCAGACTCCTCTCACGGTGAACTCTGTCTCTCCGAAGGTCACGCGGAATTTCTCTTTTATTAAAGGGATACATTTATCATTAATGTTCCTCTTTTCTCTTTCCAGTTTACCCGCCTGATCGAGGTCGTTGCTCTCAAAGCGGACAGTTGGATCCAAGATCAAAATCAGCTCTGTCCCTCCTATCTTGGGAAATGCAACTATATCCGCATATCTTGTAGGGCCTTCGCTGTAGATGGAATAGACCCCGTCAAAGCAGGTTTTATACTTATAATTTTTTTTTAACCTCACCGCAAAAAATGTGATAAGAATATCTCGTGGAAATGGAGTGTTGCAAATGAGAGGTGACTGAATCATACATATAGGATATATTGATATATTATTATCTATGAAAATAAATGAAAATTAAAATAATAGGAACTATTTGGTTGTGATAAAATAGTTTTGTGTCTTCATAGTTAATGTTTTCTAGACTTTAGCCTAGCCAGCTAATCCACTTTTATTATTTTCTTCATAAATTTTAGTTTACTTATTTGATTCATTCATGTAACTTCTTTGTTATTAATTGGATTTTTTAAAAATTTAAATTATTGAAGGGTCGAAACGATTAGTGTTGCAAGACTAAGACTTAAGGCAAAATAGTGACTAATACTTGACAATCATTCCTACTATGTGTTAATAATTGGTATAACCAATAAAATTTTACATTTGACTATTCTAATTTTTCATTCAGGCTTAGTTAGGTTTCTCCTATTTACAAACTTACAGCAATATCTCTATATTAATAAGCTAATAAGTAACTACAAGACTCTTGCGAGACTCTTGAGCAAGATCAAGACTGAGTTTGAAAGACCAAGACTCATCTCAGTCTCGCATTTGGACAACACTAGAAACGATATTGAACCCCTCAATATTTTTATTAGGAGGAGGGGGATACTCCCCCTCTCTCCTCTGAAGTCTACGCCTATGCTTTTAATATAGATGCTGAAGAAATATTTGAGGTAAATAGACCGTGATATTGTCTCTAGATCACTCATATCTTACATATTGCATAAAAAACATTTACCGATATCTTCAGGAAAATGCGCCTGCTTCATAATCCATGGGCGAAGGATGGCTATGTCGTCCTGAACAGACATGATCGTTTCTGAAAAAAAAAAAAATCGTAGAAATAACTTCAAATTTATATATATATATAAAAAAGAGTCAATCTTAACCAAGCTACATTTCCATAAAACAGATTTGAAACTACTCACCACCTGTTGAAACGTAATAAAATTTCAATGGAAAAAGTATTAAAAAAAATTATAGAAAAAGTATTAAAAAAACCGAACCATAGAAGAATTTAAGAAGCTAGCTTATTGGAGGCGAACACAAATGGGGAGAACCTTGTTAACTTGTGCAAATAAGTTAATAAAATTACCATATTCAATTTGTAGGATGAGCCGCAAGAAACCCCTCCCCTCCACCACCCTGAACCCCTTCAACTGGCATTTAAATTGTTTCCTTTCACAAGTCTGGAATAATTCGATGCTTCGACCTCAACACCTGAACAAATCCTTTAAGCTCGGATTTCGTTCTCAGAGGGCCTCTTCCAAGGGTACGATTGAACGAAGTCGACAGCTTCTAAACGTGCCGATTGGTTCTAATAGGTAAATCAGTAGGTACTCAAAAAAAAAGAAATAAATAAATAAATAAAATAAAAAAATAAATAAACAATAAAATTAAATTAATTGAATTTAAATAAGAAAAGACCAGATAACTATATGAGAAACTATTAACTTACGAAAAAATAATATTAATAATAATAATGTAAAAGTAACAGAGAGGAACTTATGAACTTCTCTCTGTTACTGTCATCAATTTTTTTTCATATGTTCCTTACATTATTGTTATTATTTATTTATTTATTTATTTATTGAGTATTACAACAATCTCTATGCTACTTTCTGTTGTCGTAGAGTATTTATTTCAGTTTCAGAATAAATAATTCCACCTTTAGCACAAATATAATTTATAAAGAAAATTGTTACATACGACCTTAGAAACTAACAATACCTATATGTTGTCTATATAGGTTTGGGTAGCTATGTGTATGTATTTACTTTTTGTCTAATTTTCAATTTTATTTTTTTTAAAAATGAGTATAATATTTTTAGTAGCTTGTTTAAAGTCTTTCTTTTTATTTTGTCGTGTGGGATTAATTAAAAACAAAATCTTGTTGTAATAAAAATAATTCATATTGCATCATTATTATTTTATTATGAGTATCTTATAATTATTTATTTATTTTTTTTATTTATTGACTATTACAACAATCTGTCTCTTGTACATTGGTTATAGTGAGGTAGGATAACATCCACACTATATGTACAAAAAATATGAAAAATAAATAGAAGCAAAATAACAATAAATAATAATCAAAAAGTATATACAATAAATAACATAACCTAAAATTAAGAAAATTAAAACCAAGCAAAAAACAACTATATACAATCAGGCGAGGGAACTCCAGGAGAACCCTGAGCAACTCTCTCAACCGCATCACTGGTACTAAAGCCAGCGGAGATTGATCGAGAGCACTTCATTATTATTATTAATATTATGTTTTTTTTTTTTTTTCATAAGTTAAAAGTTTCTCATATTATCTTGTCTTTTCTTAGCCCTGATGAAGGCCTCAACTTTGGGCCGAAACGATGGAAAATATAAAAATAAATATCATTTATTTATTTTTATTATTTTATTGAACACACCAACCAACTGCTCTTCAATTATTTACTTACAATCAACCACCAATTCACTACCAAAAATAAATTAAACATTTTTTTTTACTATCACAAAGTTGTTTATCACAAGAAAATGGACAAATTTTATTATAATACAGAATGTGTATAAATCGGGATAATTGTGATTTTTAATACATTTTGAAACTGATAGAGATGAAAAAGAATATTCTTGCCAATAATGAAAAAAAAAAAAGTTTAGACACAATGATATAGCATCAGCCTCTAATCGAGAGAAAAGAAGAAATATTTTAATCGATATCTTGATATGGTCCATGGAAACCAATGTATTGGAAAATTCTTTAGTAAATAAATGTTCTTATTTTATAATATATATATATATATATATATATATATATGAAAAAAATGATTTTCCTTTGATGAAATGATGGTGTGCCCCAGTGGCATTGCTTAGTAGTGAGCATGCGACCTATTTTTTATTTGGTGTTAATGTTCTGGAATGGCCACTAAACAAATATTTAATTTAGCTATAATTTATTCAGTAACAATCATTATTATATGATCCTTTCATTTGACAGAATATCTAACTCCGATTTCAGTATTTTTGAGTAAAGTAATTTTCGTGATATTTATAGTTTGAAAATTTGCAACATCTGTACAGACAGTGAGTAAGTTGATTCCAGAGTAGATGATTGCAATGTTGAAATATGGAACTGTGAATAAAGATATAAATTTTCCTTGTAGAGATATCAAAAGAACTAATAGGTTATTATTTGAAAAATCCAAACCACACAGTATTATGCCTCCAAAATGCAGTCTCCAAAAACCTGTCAACGTTTCGCCAAATCAGGCATCATCAGGACAGAAAAAGAGCTAATCGAACATCAGTCGATGAAATCTATTTATTTTTAATTAATTTGTTCATTTTTTAATATTTATTTATTTAGCTTTATTTTATAATGTGTTTATGATTTTTTATTAGATATATCATTTTTATTAGTCCTTTGTTTCCCTTATAAGCTGTTTTATTGTAACCTTTCCTTTCTGTGATGATCTTTATCTTATCTTCCTTTCATTATGCAACTGGATTAGCTGGAGTGATGTTCGATTAGCTATTTTTCTGTCCTGATAATACCTGAATTGGCTAAACATTGACGGATTTTTCTTTCCCTCCATTTTGGAGACATAAGGCTGTTTGGTTTGGAAGTTTTCTAATAATAATCTTTACGTTCTGTTTCTTGGTTATTTTGTTACTAGTTTATAACTAAAATTAATAATAAAAATGTTAAAACTTGAGTTAGTGATTCTGTAAACTAAAAGGCTCATATATCAATAAAAACTTTGTATCTATAATTAACAAGTTTTCATTCGACTTATGGACTATAATGTTTTAACATATTAATCTTGTATTAAATATTATTTGTTAATTAATATGTGTCAGTATTTTTAAGTTTATTTATTTAACGTCTTTATGGGCAAAAAATATAGATTGAAGTCAATCCATTTTAGCCAAATTGGGATATCCATTCCAAATAAATTTGAATACTCTTGGGACGAATTCGAATCATCACCTCTCTTAACACGAGAAAAATTCATTTTAAAACTCTTAGTAATCTTAAGTAAACATTTTTTGGAGTTATCATAATCAGGTTGAATTAAGTAACTTTTATTTTTTATTTTTTTAGAAAAAATAATCCTTTGAGGAAAAGGATTAAAAAATCTAAAAAAAATTACTTTACACAACTACATTGTAACTGTTTCCTCGTTCAAGATGGAGTTAGGGAGGGGGGTGGAGGGGGGTTTCGAACGTATTTAACTAGACCCAACCGGTTCGAGAGCTCTTTGGGACCGGAGTACCGCTTAGATACCCGTTCAATACTCGAAATTTAATCTTCTTCAAGTACTTCAGCAAGTTTAGCTGCCTGCCTTTGTATTATGCCTAAGACAATATTGGAGGTATCTCAAGGCACTTGACCTGACTTTGAGTTCAATAGGTTGTATTTAAGTGAATACTTTTTAATAAAACGGAATGCAGTTTTATTATATGTATACGACTTTCCTGAGGAAGGTGATGGTCCGGGGTTTTCATGAAAATACTAAAATAGTGAGAAAAATATTTTATTTCAAGGCAACGTTTCGACCAGACTTTGCAGGTCTTCTTCAGGGCTAGAACGAACAATATACAAAATGATAAAGAAAAATATGGACGTCACGTGATATTTAGATACACATTATAAACAATATGAGTTAACTTATTATTTTTAATTTATAATTAAAATATAGATACATAAATAGATAGAAAATATAACTTTATTCTGGGACACAGTCCCTTGAGAATAAAAAAATTAAAAGATTACATCTGACCAAAATAAAATCAATCGATAAAAAATAATTTAAAGAAAATAAAAGGTAAACATTCTATATACAAAACAAACGAAACTGTATACAAAACAATTAACACTATTACAAGACACTTAAAGCTATTTGCACTGATAGACCAGTATACACTTTTAAGAAAACAATAAAGAATTGAAAGATAAAAATTCTTTATTAAAATAAGCTTTGTATTTCTGTTGAGAAAACAGAATGCCGAATCTGACAATATAAAGTGCCTGATTAATATATAAATACATTATCATTTAGCATTGATATTTGAAAAAGAATGACATGAAATAAATGTATGTTGTTGAATGGTTAGCAATTATCTGACTGTTTTTGGGATAGGAATTGGAATAGGAGGGTTTTAAATGTAGATATGGATAATGAATGTCGAATTTTGATAGGGAGAGAATTACAGAAATTGACAGAGCGAGCTATAAAGGAGTTTTGGAATGAGGCAGATCTGTGGGAAGAGTATAAATTATTATTTTATCTAAATACCATGTAACTTCCACATTATTCCATATAATTTTGTATCTTGATCGTTCTAGCCTTGAAGAAGACCTTCAAAGTCGTGTCAAACGTTGGCTTGAAATAAAATAGTTTTCTCACTACATTGTTCTATTAATGACCGCCTACCCGGTCCATCTCCTTCCTCAATAATATACAACGGTCAGCCATCAAGTACTCAATATAAAACTTTCCGTTTGAATTGACATAAAGTATTTTCGAGGTGTACTTCGATGTCAAAACAGAACTGGAGGTTACATTCAATAAAATTTTACAACCAAATATCGATTTTAATAAGCGATTTTCCAAGGAACTAATATTAGAAGAGAAGATTGGTTGTGGTGTTCAGTAAAAAAAAAAATAATAATAAATAAGTAATATTTATTTTTATTTTTGCTTACGTTTTAGCCCGAAATTCAGGCCTTCATTAGGGCTAAGAAAAAAAAACAGATAACAATGGGTATAACAAACTATTAACACTAAAAAGAAAATATTAATATGCAGATGAACGGTATAGTCTAAACAATGTTGGCAGAATAAACTTTATTATTTATTATTATTATTATTTATTAGATATACATATTTCTGGCTCACAATAAATTTGCCATCTACATTGATATTCAGCAAATATGATATCAAGGACAAGAAATGATAGCATAAGAAAAAAAAATAATAGTAATAACAAACTAGAAAGGCAAAAAAAAAAAAAAAAAAAAAAAGAACATAACACATACATATTAACAGAATAACACACAAAAAAAGAAAAGATAATGCAGCAAGTAGCTCAATGCAATAAGTCTCTTGGCCAGCGCCTCAGCAGTCTTCTGGGCGGATTATATGGATTTGTGGCAGTAGATAAAGCATGAGTAAGTGGATTTGAATTTAGAGTCAGTCTGTCGTGAAAATTATTAAAGCAGTCAGTGGCAGTTGCCGTGATGAAAGGAGTGTTAAGGTCAGTGTGTAACGTGAGGTTTGAAACATAAAAGGGTGCGTCAACAATTTTCCGAAGGACTTTTGACTGGAATGACTCAATGATTTTTATATTTGATTTCTTTGCTGTTCCTCATAGTTCGATTCCATATGTCCAAAGTGGTTTAATGAGGACTTTGTTAATAGTTAGTTTATTAGTCAGAGATAATTTAGAACGTCTGTCAAGTAGCCTAGAAAGAAGTCCGTATCTCTGATTAAGTTCTTTTCTTTTTTGTTTTACGTGGTATGTCCATGTCAGTCGTTTGTCCAAGTGGAGGCCCAAATATCGTACAGTTTTTGAAGTAATATTTGATCCATTTGATCCAGAATAAACTTTAAACTAAAGTAAAGTAGATAGAATAAACTTAAAAGAAATATAAAATAACGATAACAAAGTCAGGAATAGAAAGTAGTGGAAGAAAGCTTTAAGTTTATTCCTTCAACATTTTTTAGACTATACCTTACACTTACAGATTATTATATATTTTTTTAATGTTAATATTTTCTTATAACCGCTGTTACCTTTTTTTTTTTTCTTTAGCCTTGATGAAAGCCTGAACTTTGGGCCGAAACTTCGCCAATCTTCTCTTCACTTATTCACTACAGTCAACCATCAATCCATTAGTAATTGATATTAAGTTAAGGGATAGAAAAATTCCTTTTTGCGTCAATCCATTTGGATCTTATGTGAAGACTCTTTTAGCTGTCTTGAGATTCCATGGGAATGCAAATATCTCACGAAGACCATTTGATCCATGGAATACCCCAGTTATCATCTGTAGGTTTACCTGTGCCTCTACAAACCTATGGAAGGTATTTTGTTTAGTACTATGTACTTTGTAACGATATGCAGTTTCTTGGTCAACGATTTGCAATCACACCCAATCTTCAGGTTTTCTCCTTAAAAGGACTCATTTTATAGAGACTGAAACCCATATACACGGCTATTGTAATATAATAAATAATTACCTGTCACAACAGAACATGAATTCGGTTCAATCTTAATCCTCACTTCTCCGCTTCCCATCTTCAGGGTTGAATATTACATAATTTAAGTTCTACAGTTTACGAAAGTTAATATACAATTTATGGGTAATGTTCGCATTAAATGGAATAACCGGGTATTTAATAATAGTTTGCCGCGGCAAAACTAAACTTCTAGCTACAGCTGAATCTTCTAGCACCACCCTAAGGGAATAATCGAATATGGATGATGAAGAATATTTATAAACTTTCAATATTTAACAATATATTTTTTAAATTTAGTTGTCTTCTCGTGATTGCCGAAATAAAACTAATTTTACTTTTAATATTATATTTTTTTTTATAGCAGGTGTAATTTGAGAAGAAGTTGGTTGCGAGATCAATGGGCACACTTGGAAATTAATGTATAACTAGGATTTGACCTACTTTTTAAGTATTCATCAGGTTTTTCCAGAGATCTCGACGATGAGAGGCTTTTTTCACGGTTTTCAAATCATGTCAAAAAATCTCATCATCAGAACATTCATTTTATAAGCCGAAAAAAAAACAAAAAAAAAACGGAGGGTGAACCATGAAAGAGTATTGCGATGAAAAGCTGTGACATTCGAGAGGATATCACGATATATATTAATCTTAAAAAAAAAACAAAAACTATGGGATGTTTTAAGATTTGATACTAAATACTGGACAGTAATATTAGTGGAGTAGTGATGGACATATGTAACGAAATTTTTGTCTTTTTTTGCTTATGCCGCCTTAATTATTTTAGTTATAATCTTTTCCGTTGGACATTTAGAATTTTTAGGGTTTCCTTTTTCTATTTCACACTTTAAAATTGAAAAAAAATATTCAGTTGTGTAGTTGTAATCTTCATAAAATAAAAAACACCACTAGTGATGGATTCCCCGAAATTGAATTGTTCTAGTTATGGAAATACCTCAGAAAAATTATAAAATCTTTATTTAACTTTAAAGATAACTATAAAGATAACATAACACAGATGTTCAACTTACTCTTAGATATAATGTTTGTAGGAAGGGATGAAACATACTGATCTCACGAGAACTATTGAAACAACAATGGCATTTTAAAATTTTCTTTTGGAAAATTTGTTCATACAGTTGTCAATAGAGGGCATTGCCCTTCAATCTAGAAAAAACTTGAAATTTTTCAATTTAAAGTGTTAAGTGTTAAAAAACAAGGACGTTTATTATTTACATTTGAAGTCCAACTTATCCATCTCTCCGTAACAGGTGCATTCACCTTACTTTTAGAACTTTTTCAGAAAATAACGGGTTCCTTAACTTATAAATTTTCTATGGTTTCCTTAGGTATTTTTTTATCATGAGTCCATTTCTCTTGCTTAATATGTATGCTCCATCCTAGAATCTTCTATTTGCTCATCCATTAGTTTTTTTCGACCACCTTGATTTATTTTTCCGCCAATTTTCCAAAAGAACACCTCTCTTGACAATCCTCTCTTGCACAATGAGGAACTTGTTTTTTCGATCTGTTTCAGAATTTTGTTTTTTTAGTCCCATATTTTCTTTATTTCTATATTATCCATTCCCTATATTCTTCCGAACGTCGCTAGTAATCGATTCCCAGCAGTAAATACTGAAGTTCATCCTTTATGGTCTAGGTTTCTGTCCTCACCATATATTAATCCTTAGATATAATCCTCATTGATGAGATTAAAAAAAGTTATACTAGTAACTTGCGAAGGAGTTTGTGTAAGAATCTCCTATGTTTTGGCTGAAATTTTTGTATCTTTGAATGTTCGCTAAGTTGAAACTGTTTTTATTGAATATGTGTGAGCAAGACAAAGGTACTAAACGGAATAACACGTTGCTGTTATGACTTACGTAATTTCTTTATGAAGTATTATTATATTGAAGTACTATTTATTTATTATTGACTTTTCTTTTTTGAGACTGATACTATTAGTCCGCGGTACAGACACCCTTTCATCGAATTATTAACATCCGCCTGAAACTTCGTAAATAGTTTCATCCCATCGTAACCTACAACTATTTCATTTACGAAAACTCTTGAAATTGGTGCCTTTTCAATCTTGATGGGAGCAAACTTCGTCTATTTAAACAGGTACTAAAAACTCGAAAATACACATTTGCTTTCTACTTGGACCGTAAGATATTTTTAATCACAAAGAAAAAATGTGGCATTCAAAAATATTGAGCCGTTTGGCGTGATCTACACCCCCACAAATTTTCAAAATAAGTAGGTAATATAGGACAAACGGCCCAATATTTTTTTATCGATTTTGTGATCAATTTGTCTTACTATTGAAATAGAAAGCAAATGGGCATTTGAGAGTTTTTAGTAACTAATGAAATTGACAAAGTTTGTCTCCCTTCAGATTGAAAACGCCCCAATTCCAAGAGTTTTCGTAAATAAAATAGTTGTAGGTTACGACGAGATGAAACTATTTACGAAGTTTCAAGCGGATGTTAATAATTCGATAAAAAGGGGTCTGTCTCTCGGACTACATGCTTATCTATTCATTCATGCATCTTGAATTTCTATTGTCTACTTAGTATTTCTTATATTCCTTGTTAAAATTCCTGATCCAGGAAGGATTCGCATAACGCGAACTGCATATATTGTTATGTTCGTTAGGGATCCCGAGACCTCGTCTTTATCCATCCACATCCGTGTCGGGAATTATCCCATTCCCTGGCAATGTTTGATATTCAAATGATGAAGTGAAAATTGTGCCAATCATCTATCGCACTCGTATGTAAATTTCTGGAGGCGTTTGCGATGCGAGGTGCATAACGCTTACCTTGATCAATGCTCGGTAACTGAACAAAGGGCCTGTGATACTTTATCATTTATTCAAACTGTTCGTTCCCGAACGAGGAGAAACTATGATTTAATGAATATGTAAATTTTATCATTGTTTCGGTTTATTACATTTGCAATTGTTTGCGATAATGTTTAAAAATCTTCCGTGCCTACCTAAGACCTACTTAAGTCTATACGGTGGCCTGAACCACCCCATCTTTCACTTAGGGAAGTACAAAGCCTTCTCTAGCTCTATTGACATTCTAAAACCAAACCACTCGAGGAACTTGTCGCGGCTAACCTTCGAGGCCATCTTGATTCTTGTCATTTCAATGCGCATCAAGTCCTTGTGGTAAAGCTATTCTTAATATATCCGTCTCAGTGTCCTTTGCATTTCCGTATTATTGTTGTCATTTTACAAAATATAATGTCTATATTTAAACCAGGAAAATACTAGAATATTTTATTTATTTATTTATTCATGATATTTACAACTGAATTAATAAGTAAAATACATTTAGTAAATTTGATAACAGAAAATAATAACATGAAATCACTTGTTGAAAAACTACCCACTGGTAGCACTCTAAAAACAAAATGTATTTACAATAAGAGATCTCGAGGCCATCTTCTTTTCAGACGCCTCGGAAGGTTATCGCAGATAGAAGAGGAAGCAAGGTTAGAGACGTGAGGATTCGAATGGTTCTGAAGTCAATTATGGAACGATTGGTATCTGGATTGGGCCAAATCGGAAACATGAGGAACATTAAGGTCATTATGGATTATTTTATTGGTGACAAAGTAAGGAGCATTGAGGATTTTCCGAAGGATTTTGGATTGTAAGGATTGGATACGAGAGAAATTCGATGGCTTAGTGGAGCCCCAAAGCTCAACTCCGTAAGTCCAAATAGGTCTTATTGTAGTCATGTATATGAGTCTTTTGTAATTAACTGGAAGCTTAGAGCGTTTGTCTAGTAAGTATTGGAGTGGTCGGAAACGTCGACCGGTTTCTTGTCGTTTCAGTCTGGTATGAGGATTCCAAGTTAGACGTTTGCCCAAGGGTAGTCCAAGGTTTCGGATTTGCACAACAGGGATAAGTGGGGTATTATTAAAGGATAATGTGGGACATGAGGTCATAGGTTTACGTCGAAGGGTTAAGGTGATTTGGTGGGATTTATTAGAATATATTTTAATCCTCTAGTTTCGACAACATTCTTCAAGGCTTGTGATGTGTGATTGAAGGGTTTGGGATACAATGGTTGGGTCATTATTAACGGATAAGAATATTTTTATAATTTAAATATATTCATTGAAATTAGGAAGTGTATTAACTAACAAAATAACAAGTAGAGTAAGCGTGGCAGTGATGGACATAGATAAGGAAATGTTTGTCTTTTTTGGCTTATACCTCCGTAATTATTATAAACTTCTCCATTGGACATTTAGAATCTCTGATATCTTTTTTCTATTTACCAATTTAAACAAATTAACTTTAATTAATTTTAACAAATTAAATTATGTAAGTTATAATCTCCATTTAAAAAGAAACATCTTTTGGAGTCCTAGTGAAGGACTCCCCGAAATTCAATTGTTCTAGTAATGGACAGGGGGTCGGTACCAGTAATAGACATACCTCAGAAAAAATCATACATAAATGTTCATCTTACTCTCAGCTAAACTGTTAGAAGGAAGGTATGAAGTTAACTGATCTCAAGAACACTATAGAAACAATGATAGACATTTTAAAATTTTCTTTTGGGAACTTTGTTCAAACAGTTATCAATAGAGGACATTGACGTTCAATGTAGAAAAAATTGAAACCTTTAAGTCAACATGGAAGCTTATTATTTACATTTAAAGTCCAACCTGCCCGTCACTGGGTTCCCTGTCCATAACTGGTGCATCCTAAATATGATTTGGTATGAAACAAAATTGTCAGGACTTTCAGTCCATATTTCTTACAGTACTTGTATCGACTTCCAAACGATAGCCCTGAAGATGTTTGTTTCGAAACTTCGGCTAACCCAATAAAAATATCGACTGAAATTCCTGACATTATTTTTTTCATCGTTATAATTGATCAGTCGGCATAGTGATTTAGATAGTCGGATTGACGAGTTGAGTCATCATTTGTTGAGTGATATAAAATAGGTAATTAAATAATCACAACGTATTCTATTTTTAATAATATATAATAATGCATATATAGCATAATTTTTCTTGTAATTACCTCTCTTTATTTTATTTTATTTTATTTTTTTACCTCTCAGTATCACTTAGAAATCATTTTATAGTAGTTTTTCTTTCTTTCAAGTAATTGCCGTTAGTTAAAAAAAAATTAAAAACTAAGGTGTGCGCTTTAGACGACAAGAGATTAATAATATCGAATATAAATTATAGATAATAGCTCATTATAAAAGGGATGAAATGCTGATTATTTCTCTCGCTTACAGTACGCACGTCCAATTTTTAATTTCTAAGATATTTAAATCCATATATTTCATAAAAGTCGTTATCAATTTATTTTCTACATTATTTTTTCCTTTTTGCTTTCTTTTAACACAGCGTCGCGTTAAGATACAATTTTGAATATTAGGTTAAAGAGAATAAAATTATGAACATTTTCCTCGCTAAGAATGTGCAGGTAAGATTTTTAGTTTTTGAGATATTTTAATCCATTTGCAAAAACATTTCAATTGGTCGATTCCAGCCGACTTTACCTGAGCGTTATACATCGGATATCTTACGGCTCAAACTAATTCGCTCTCTACAAAAAAAAGTCAAAACGCGCCTGATGAAGTTTTCACTTCAATTACAAAAAAAAAAAAAAAGAAAAATTAAAGAAGCTCCACTATATAATAAAATTTTCAATTTACTAATAACAAAACATGGAGAGAATACACAAAAAAGGAGAGAAAGCGAACATAAACAACTACAGAGGAATCTTGCTACTACCACTAAGAATGGGGAATACCAGGAAGGCTATATTTTATATAAATATATATATGAGGAGATATTTTAATCTTTGTGCAATAATAGAATTAAATGACCGAATTAAATGATTAAATGACTCCAACCGACTTTAACCGAGCGTTACACTTCGGAAATGTGCCGGCTCAATCTGATTCAGTCTCTGGAAAAAATTGCAAAACGCGCCTAAAGAAGTTATCACTTCAAAAATTCTGCTGTAATGTTTGTCGACCGACATTTTGAAATGAAAAGGAGTATGATATCGGGTTGGGCGGATCATAGCCGGGTGGGATTCAGTGAGGAAACTGCAGATGGATGATTTTTTTTTTTTAATTTAATTTTCGTATCCCGCGCATCTTGAAACATAAATCCTCCAACATTTGGGGGAGAGTCGACTTTTTTTCGAAGTTAACGAAGGTTCATTAATAAAAATAACAAGAGAAAAGTACAATAAAACTGCATAGCTACTCAACTATGTCGAGTTGATAAATTACTCAGCTTACTGATCAGTCTTAAGAAATAATATTTAATAAGAGAGTACAAAAAGGATCGAGTTTTGCAGGGCTATCAATCAAAGTACCGAATGTTATAATTTATTGCTTATTTTTTTACTCCCCTTCATTTTGTTCCTTTCCACTTCTGCCCGTAGAGCAGACGACCTGGTCATAATTAATACATATTTAGGATTCCCAAAGAGTCCAAAACTATTGATACCTCCATACTCTGCCGTCGACTCCTTTCCAAACCTAGCTTCTCCAAAAACTCAGAAGTTGAAATTGGAAATGCTCCGTTACAACATATTTCTCATGCAGGTAGGAAATGAATTTTTTAGTACCCCGTATGCCAGAAATGGCCGGATGGGGGGAATGAAAACATAAAAAAAAATGCATTTTTTTAAAGATTTATAGATGAATTTTGTATCCTTTTTTTTTAAATATTCGCTGTAACCTAATATGTTTCACTACGAATGGGTAACCCCAAACGGCAACCGATGCCAATTTAATCCTTTTTGAATTTAATTTATGCAAAAGGAAATGAAGGAATGAAAAAAGAAAATAAAAAAAATTAAAGGATATAGATGATGAAGAAGGGCCGAGAGAGAGAGAGTGGATTGAATCGAGAAAATAAACCGCTTCCTTAGGATGTCCGGTCGGCTGGAAATTTAATACAGACTTCTCCCTTAACCATCCGGTGAGGATACTAACAGGCAGCAACCCCGCCAATTTTCACAAAACATGGCTATCCAACTCCCCCGTAGAAATAACATAATTAAATTCCTACAAACCTTCCCTCCTTCTTTCGGTATTAATCTTAGCCTTTTCCAGGCAGCCATATTACTCAAGGAGCCTGGAAGAAGCGCCTAGCTAAATAAACTTCAAAACCACTTGACCTGAAATATTAAATTACATTATTATGTTCCGGCGTCGGAGATTAAACAAAATGATTTAAGCCTCCTCCACTTCTATAAATATTAAGCTATTATGGCTTCCTCTAATGATGGAATCTTACCAATTCCGTGGATATTGTTTTGGTAATTGCTCTCCTAACCTTGATGGAGGGAGATTTACTTTAAGTTCAAGTTCTCTATAATAGTAAATAAGAAAAGACAAGATGATATTGCGAGTTGGCTCATTGTTAGATATTTGATCTCGAGCACACAGAGTTTTTGTCTTCAGAAATTTTTTTTTAAGTACGATATGTAGATTATAGCCATCTTAGTCCCAGATGTTTGATAGTGCCACAGGTGGATCTGCGTGGGGGAGGGGAGGCTTTCGGGCTGAAGCCCCCTTCCCCCAAAATGGTAAAATTTAACCATGTTTTTTTGGTAAAAAATATAAAAATAATTATCTCATAAAGTATTATTAAAAAGGAAGGAGATGGTCCGGGGTTGCGGTCATGAATAGGATAAATAGTGGTAAAACTATTTTATTTATTGACCCGACTTTGCAGGTCTTCTTCAAGGCTAGAACGGACAAGATACAAAAAGATAGAGAATTGTGGCAGTTACATAATATTTAGAAAATATTTTACATAATATTATGTCTAAATATTATGTAACTGCCACAATTCTATAATC